CAAAACAATAAGTAAAAAAACAGAAACATATCAGCACATAGTTGGCACCCAACAAGCAATATAAGAATGATCGAAGTGGAAATTTGTCGCAACAAATCCACTATGTGTGACCAATAATACCAATATGGTAGAACTTGAAAACGACGGTAAAATCAGCACTATTTTTCATTCATCTATTGTCGACCATAATTGCAAAACTACTGCCAATACACCAACCGATACAGTTGATATTGGATTATATGTTGCGAAAAAATTGTCTGTGCAAGATTTTGTCATTAGTAAATCGTCTATTAATTGAACCATGAATTTCATCATCAAACTGTGTTTTTCCCAAAATCGATCAAAAAAGAAAATTACGATCCATCTATCAACACATATGGTTGGCTAAATATTCTTGACTTTCATATTCAGAAATACACCTATGTGTCGATTGTCGACATTATGTTCTTCTTTCAAGGCAAGAATAGCAACATTCTCTTGTTCAGTTCGTCAACAAACTGTTACGATCGTTAAAGGACGCGATTGAGTACTTATCGAATAATGATAAATGTGAATGTCATAAATTATTTGTTTCACAATCAATTGAATGCATCAATCGTCGTTCTCATTCTGAAATGCATGTCAATATATTGTTAGATGACTTCAGTGCACAAACAATAGAATGGAAATCGATTAATATTAGCAAGTATGATCAAATGTATATTATTTTTTTCTAAACAGAACATCACGTTTTGAAGAAATGACGATAATGGTATGCCAAGTCATGACAATGACGGTCAAGGTAATTTCAAATCACTGGTATTATTCAGAGCCAAATCTGGTGATCAATTATTAAAGTAACATCTAAGCATTGCCAAAAGAATGCTACTTATTTAGACGCAAAGATTCAAAATGACCTTATTAATCTATGTGCGAAAGTAATAAGAAAGTATCTATTGACAAAATCGATCAAGCGACAAAAACATTTTGCGCTGATTGCTAATGGTACAACGAACATTTCTAGCAATGAGCAATTATCAATCTTTGTTCAATATTTACCTAACAAAAACGATATACTGATAAATGAGGTCTTCATTGGATTCGTACCATTGCCGGATTTGATAGCTTCAGCAATAACGGCAGCAATTCTGCAATTCATTCAAATGTACAGTTTTAATATCAATAAAACTCGAGGTATGCTCTATGAAAAACATATACATAGACTAAATCCAACAATTTCATGTTTTTTTCAGAACAAGGTTATAACGATGCCAACATAGTTCCTGGTCACTTGACTAGGGTTCAGAAACCGTAACTGAGACAAGACGTCAACATCTCGTCCGATTATATGATTACATGATGGATGAAGAAACATAATTCTATTATTGCATTGAAGTAGCTATTTTTGAGTATTATCGTTGCACTAGAATATTTTGTCGACAACGCTGATTCAGAAACAAGTGGTCTTTCACGAATATACGCAGAAGTCGTACGTGATATTAGTTTTGCAATTTTTCTTAGTATCGTTAGCTGTGTATTTTCCATTATCGCACCATATGTGGAACAACTGCAAAATCCAATACGCGATCTTGTCAAATGTTATCAAATTATCGAACAAATCTCAATGTATTTGATAGAATTGATGCAGTACACTAAGTAATTAGATGAATTGTACAACGAATTTTTTACATTTGTCGAAGCAAACGAAATTGACAACTGCTTGTTACGAACTATATCTTGTTACTACTAAACGACAAAATCTTATTTTAAACATGTAAGTGACGACAATTCGAGAGCTAGGACGCAAGTTCACCGAATATCAGAAAATTGCCATGGCTATTCATATTTAATCTCGTCGTTCGTTGTCGAATATTCATTTTTCCAATGTTTTAACATTATTCGATGACTATAAAGGTGATCTGAAGACCAACAACACGAGCATTTATAAAGCAGAAATCGAAATATAGAAATTCAGGATTCAAAAAATGTTCGAAGCAGAAAGACCAACCATCATCGACAAAACAATGAAGATAATACAACCTTACAAACTCTTTTATCCAAATATTTATATTCTATTCAAACTATATGCGATCATACTGGTCTCACTGATCAGTGTCGAACAATTTTTTTCCATCATGAGTCTCGTGCAAAACTATTTACGCAATCCAACAGTCGATGATTAGCTCAGCAACTTGGCTATTATCTGTATTCATAAGAGAATTTTTAAACACTTAGATATTAAAAGAATTATCGACGAATTCACTAAATCAAAACGTCGAATAAGTTTTACAAATCAATACAACTGTTATTTCAACCTTTATCTTAAGTATTTGTATTTCGTTACTCAGCTGTTGATTGTATAGAATAATGATCGAATTTGAATATGAATAAATCGATGCAAAATTAGTCGAATCTGATGACAAGTTTACGAACATAAGATTGCAAAGTGGTGGGAATTAGGAGTTTACAGCTCACGCTTATAAGTCAGTTATATGAGCATGAGTGTTTCTTCTCTACCTCGAACATGCGAGTTTCATTAATAATCAACTCACTTTCGTTTGTGTTCATGTAGAAATACATTCTGATATCTCATATAGCTTCTCATATTATAAAGACGATATAATCTCAAATTTTTACAAAGAATTGTGCGTCTTCGAGCCATTACTTCGACTAATATCATAAAATCAACAACTGAAAACATGTTCATTGATGATTTTGTTCTGCTTCTTTTGGAGAGGAATTCTTATTATCTTTCGATTATTATTTATATGGAGTAGCTAGTAAAGTAGCAGTAAAATGTGAGTGATTGATCCATACACACAGGGTTAGACACGATGTAGTCTGGTTTAACTAGTTACTAGTCTACCACTTTAAAATTGGTCTAATTCATAGATTACATAAATAATATCTAGTAGTGACAGAGAAAAGTCAATAAAGATCAGTGAAAAAGCATTATATATGCATTTAGTTAGACTGGTAGCAGTTGACCATTTAAAACTATATAGGACTAGTGCATACCTACTTACAATGATATGAATTTGTTGTAGGGATGCACCAGTTCTAGTAACTGAATGATCACTTATACTGGGTGTCCAGTTAACTGGTATTCATTTAGCTGGTTCGACAGTATTTGATTTTTTCCAAGTCAGTTTAATTACATAAGCTAAATGCTACAAAAATTCGGATAAGTATAAATGATTTGTTTTCATCTGCTTACTGATGCATGCCTAAATCGCTAGAAATTATCATTCAGAATGTACTCGTCTCTTCATATGAGTAGGAACTTACCTTAACAAGTAACAGGGTAAGACAAAATTTGTAGACTTGTTTTTTTCAATAAAAAAAGGATTTTTTAAAGCAAGTAGCGATTTTGTATAAAGTTTGATTAAAGATTTCGGGAATAGAAGTTACCTGACTGAGAAATCGAGTACATAGTTTCGGGAGACCAATCACAGATTCGAATTCATCGAGCCTGAAAACCTTTGATCAAACTTTATACAGAGTCGTGTAATTTCTTCAATAGCGATTCCCTGGCGAAAGAATCGAATTCCCTTAGCGGTGAGTTAACTCGTCTTGGTACCTCCCTAATAGTTATAGGGACTATTCTTTAATAGCACTGGAAAAATTATAGGTATCTTATCAACCTCGGCACGATTGATTCTCTAATAAGAGTTGAACTGTTTAAATCGATCGGCACCTATCAGAAAAGGTTTCGAACAGTTCCTTAGATTGGAACTTTTACCGAATTATCTCATTCGTAATAAGAACACAAGCAAAAGTAAGTTGATTATTATTAGTACCTCGCATATTCGAGACAGAGAAGAAACACTCACATTCATGAGTCTGAACTGCACAGCTCTACTCCGTATATGACGGTACATACGACTATAGTTCGTTGTATAAGATGATTCCGTGACTGTATATGAACCAATACGATGACCTACAGAAAAAACAAACGCTTGGTTGTTGCCTTTGTACACGTAAGTTGCATATAATTTCCGTATTCGTCTATCTAGCTAGCTTTGAATGACTTCCTATTTGAATAGGATTCCGGTATATGAAAACGTTTTCTTACTGTTTTTGCTCCAGATATGTGCACAATACAAAGATATCTTTGTACAGTCTCAGTATATGTTAGCTTTCAAGCATTTATATTTGAGCTGGTTTATATAAAAATGGTTGAAAATGTTTAGCTCTTTTATTTTTATGTTCTTCTAATGATAAATATTCTCTGTCAGATGAATTTATATATCGAAATCATTCTCTATCTATTTCATCAATGATCTTTAGTAAAATAAATGTTCTAAATTGAAAAGTAAATTTTTGATGAAAAAATTTTCTGACAAAAAAATGAAAATAATTACAACAAAAATGCTTGAATAAAATAAATTTAAAAATGAACAATTTTTTGTTTATTTTCTTGTTGAATTTTTTTATAAGTTATATCAAATACTGGTTCATGAATAAATCCATTTCTATGATAATGTGTTCGAGTACTTATATATGGTATAAGTTGTTCATATGCATCTCGCAATTCTTTCATCGCTTTTTTCCTTTCTTCTAATATATATTTATCATGTTTTTTCTGTGCCCATTCTAAAGTAATACGAAGATAATTTATCGAAGCTTGTTCATGATTTTCGCTTGCTTGTTTATGTCCATAAGAATCGGCACGAAATGCAGATAACATAATATTATCTTGTTCTGTTGGTGGTATATACTTAAAATCTGGATTGTTACCATTTAATCGTTTTGGTGTATTTGATAAATCAATAAACTTAGTTAAATCATCAAGATTATTAATAAAATGAATTTTACTTTCAACAACTGGATCTAACCATGCTTTGATAATATACCAACAACTATTAAATAGCCAAGGAGCATTTACAATAAGTGCAAGACCAAGTGATTCCGGATAATAGTTCTGTAGAAGATTTAAAAGAAATTGTGTATGTTGATAATCCATATTTTTCAGTGAAAACCCAGCCATATCAAAAATAACTGTTACAGATTCAACTGGATTATGTAATAATTTTCGTCCTATTTCCATAGAAAGTACAGCTAGTTTTCCTGTTGATTCTAATGGAAATTGACCTTTTATATGATCTTTTGCAGCCACATAAGTTATTGGACGACCAACTCGATCATAACCAATATATGATGTTTTGCCTGTTAGGATTTCTTCATAGCAAAGCGCTGATTCTCCTTCAGCAACAAGTTGCTTAACACCCCATTGCAATCTCCATTTTAATGTATCAATAAGTTGTTCTAAAGCGTGACTAACATTCCATTTTCTTGCACGAAGCCATCGTAATAAAGTAACATCTGGATTATCATTAGCAAATGCATAAAATAATTCTTTTCCATAAGTCGAATCATAAAAATTTTCTAATGATACTTTATTTTCACTAGTTATTTTATCAAAAAGAGATATCCAAAAACTTTTAAGATTTTCTTCTTGATCTTTATTAAGATTATCTAAGAAAATAAATATTTATTTAACTATTCTATAAATAAATAAATAAAATCCCTTACTTATATGTCCAGGATCGTTGGCACTCATTTTTTAATATTTGACAATTTTATCTTTAAATAAATACGATAAGTATTGATTCGATTTTAATCAGTCTAAAAAAAATAAATCAACTTTAACAATCACTTTTATCTTTTCATTCGAATTAGATATTAGCATACAACATTTTTAAATAATTTTTTACATTCTATTTGTCTACATAGTTGAAAGTGAGTAAAAATATATTGTTGCGAAATATATCTTATTTTTCTTGGTATAAAGAGAGAAAAATTGAAGTATTTTTATCATTTATACCTTTATACACGTGATCAATCTTATTAATCAATATCAATTAGGGTTGTATCCTTGAAAAGAAAGAGAATATTTTTTGTTTTTGTCTTCGTCATTCGTTCTTTCTACTATAAATAGATGTCAATGACGAATAAACCTTCGATTTGGATATATCCATGTTTATATCCAATATTTTCTTTTTGTTTTTGTTTTTCTATCGTCATTTTTCCTAAATTGAGACAATACTTTTTTTTTCTTCACCTTTGATTTTTATGCTTTTTTTTCAAAAAATAAAAGTTTTTATTTAATTTTTTTTTATTTTCAATTTATTCGTTCGACTAGAATAAAACTAAGATAAAAGATCTTAAATAATCAGTTAGTATTTTATAAAATCTAATGAACACAAATATGATTGTTGAGATATGAATTGATTTCTATTAGATTAATCTTAAAATCTTTTAACAACATGAATATTTTTAATAACAAGGTTAATAGTATATATTTGAAATGATATTAATGATTTTAATATGAAATACAATTTGAGTAAAATAATAAAATATTTATTTTTAAAAATAAATAATGTATAAGGTGAATAAAATTGCACAATAAACATTTGAATATGTTTACATTGAATTATTTTTAAAAATGTTTAAGAATTGAAAATAAATAAAATAAATTGAGTCAAAATTGTTTTATTGAAAATGATTTTCAATATAATATTTAGTAAAATTACTAATCATATATTCTCATTAAAACTTTGAAGAATTTTCTTTGAATTATTTGATATGATTAGAATTTATTTTATTCTCGAAATTCTTCAATCGGTTTTCTTTTCCTTATTTATCATTTAATTATCAATTTGAATTTTGTTGAGAATTTTTTTTTAATTTTTCAAAAAAGAAAAATAATTCTTTTAAATATAAGTTATTTAAATCTTTTTAAAATTTTTTTATTCGTTTATTGTTAGAAAATATAAATTTTCTTCCCCCATAATTTCAGTTTCAATCAAGTATTATATAGTCAAATATAAAAATTGAAAACTTCCTGAAAAAAAGAAAGAAAATGAATTGAGAAATGAACTATTTATTAAAATCTGTTTCATAATCAGATTTAATAGAATTAACAAAATTTTTCAACATTATCATTGAGATGCATATTTATTTAAAATTATTTCATTTATTCTGCACATAAATCAATAAAAATAAAACTTCGAATGATTAATTTTTTTTTAAATTTCTTAATATTTGAATCATTGCCGTATGAGAAATAATATCGAGGTAAAGTTTTCACTATTACATAGAAAAAAATTCTACACATGGATCCAAGTCAAAATTCTAACACTATAAAGATCAATCAGGTAACAAAAGTGATGAGTCTGTTGAAGAAGATCAATGCATTATATTGAGAGATTATATCATATAAAATGAAACCACAAATATGCATGAATGAATGCTATTTTCAATATTTCGAATTGGTTTCCATAAATATCTATATAGTGCATAATTTGTCTGTTAAATATGAATTTATATAAAGGGAACTCGTTTCACTATCAGAGTCATGCTATTTAAAGGGTTAAAGAGAATTTTTATTTTTAATTAGATAATTTTATCAGATAAACATTCTTCGAATACCTTAAGGTTTTATTTAATTAGAAATTTGAATATTTTTTATAGTTTTTTGTTTGTTTTTTTCGTCTTATTCCTTGATGATCAATGACTAATTGATAAGTATGACTACCCTAGTAGAAATCTTTTATTTCTTCTCGATTGATCCTTGATAGATCTGACAAGAATCGAGCATGAATTCATCGATTTTCCCTGAGTTAACGACAAAATTATGAAAAAAGTGTGTAAGCACAAAAAAGCAAAGATTTTGTCAAGATTTCTAATGAAATCTTTTAAAGATGGTGACCAGTTTTCCTTTGTTTTCAGATGATAATTTTATCAAGATTGAAATGATTTCTAATTTAAATCTTGTTTTTGAATTTTTCTTGAAGTATTTAACTCGATTTTTGTGAGGATACTGTCTAGTTTGTGGAAAGAGATCTTTGTAGGATTTTCTAAAGAGAACAGAAGATAGATGAACACATAGATTGGTGATTTGTAGACTTTCAATGTACAGATGGATGATATCATCCGGCTGAACCATACCATGTTATTTTGAACTTGTATTTGAATTTGATGAGAATATATATTATTTGACGAGAAATTTTTGATTAATCAAACATTTAATTTTACATATTGATTTCATTTGATAAAATTCTACTAATAAGTGCTGATTTTGATGTGATCTGAATAATATATTTCTGTTTCTTTTTCAAGGATGAATTGAAATGAGAAGACTTTTTACTGAAGGATTTATCTTTTACTAAAAATATTTTTTCAATGGAAAAATAAATACAATAAACTAAACTGATATTAACATTCTTGTTTAAGGAATTCTCAAGTTCTATATAAAAATAAACTCTAAAATATAACTGATTTTATGGTTTAACATGTGAGATCATATTGACTATAAGCCTTGGAAAAATTCAAAAAAAATCTCCTTAAGCTTTTATCTGAATTCTTTCATTTACCTATATAGACATTGAAGTCAAAACTAGGATAAAATACTAGTAGATTCTTGAATCTTTCTGCTTATTATTGTTTATATTTCATTTAAGGTTAATGTTGAAACTTGTTGAGATTGAGAGATCTGTAAATATGTGACATATCCTAAAGAGAAATCACCTAAAACTTTGATGAAATCATTTCAACGATTTTTGTCAAGATGCTCACCTATGTTAATCATCAATTTTCGAGAGACTCTAAATAAAAATCTATCAAGATCTTAATTTAATCTTAGTATTTTCTCATCAAAATCTTGATCGTAGTTGGCGTTGTCTAGTCAGAATCCAAAATATTTCATTCTGAACGGCTCAAAAAAGAATCATGGAAAAGTTTAGAAAACCTTCTCATAACAGAAATGGATAGGAAATCAAATAGGATCTATCTCTCAACGATTATGACTAATCTTGTTTTATTCTTAGTAGAGTTCTCATCTGATTTATCTATAAATCCTGAGAGGATCATGGCGCAAAGATTTCCAAAAAAAAATAGATCTTGATGAAAATCAGATAAGATCTTAATATTATTCTTTCTCTTATTTCTGTTAACATTCTGAACAAGATTCAAAGTGAATCTTGACAAGATCCTGCATCAAAGTTGTAAATGATAACGTTAAAAGATCGGTCCGATAGAGGATTCCTTATCGACCGATATCAATATTTTTTCGTTTTGTGTCAAAAAATAGAGCATAAAAGTGGGTTTTTTCTCAAGTCAAACACTTTTTATTGATGATGAACACTATTTCAGTGAGGAACGATGCAGCAAGGTATTTTATATAGTTGAATTTGATCAGCCTACACTCATATAATGTTATATTATAAAAACAAAATTGAATAATCGATTAGTATTTTCATTCTTATATATGTACTTATATTCGTCCTAGTGCTGTTTATAGGACATATTTTTTCGGACATACCTAGCCAAAAACGAAGAGAATATAATGCGAAAAACAGGTTAAATATCAGAGATGGGAAAGTTCAACTCAGAGTTGAAGTTTTTTCTTATCAGAGTTGAAGTGAGATTTTAGAAAATAGAAGTGGAGTTTTATGGAGTTACCTATCTCTATGAAATATCCAAGTAATAAATAACATCTATGTTTTAGGAACTGTTAATAAATGTGGAAAACTGATATAGAATTTTTAGTCTGATGATGTTTTGTGTTCAACAATAGATTCCAGGAGACAAAAAACTTACAGGTACATATAATAGGAAGTACTAGAAAAAGGACTTTTATGTGACTACTGCACTGATTGGGATGCATATATGACTAATCGAGGTGTTGATTTGACTGTTCTAGAGTCAGAAAAATAACGAATGACTCATGTTGGTATACCAATTGGTTCTGTCCGGTTTGATCGTTTCTACTGGTTTTGATTCTGTCCTGTCTTCTCATGTGATAAAAAAGAATTATAAAACAGAATTCTGAATAAAACATGACAAGACTCTTGATATTTTCAATGATTTCTTTTGCAATTTTCATCTTCTACAAGAAGAACAACAGTTCTGGCGCTGTCCATTTCAAAAAATGAAAGTTTAGCTTTTCCAGAAAGAAAAGGGAAAGAACGGTGCCACTTTTAGTGAACAGCTCGAAAATGGTCGACCTGATTAACCCCGTAGTACCGTTCTTTTTTAAGCACTATACTGACAACATATGTTTTCATAAAATAATTTATTTTACCTTTGGATTAGTCTCCTGATGAAATATGTTGTTTTCATATTCGACCTCATAGAAAAATTATTAAAATGATATTCTTTATTTAGAACAAGTAATACAAAAAATATGCTTAACAGAATGCTCATTACAAACGAACGCAGAACAATTACAACATTGAGTTGATGTTTTCTTGTCCATAGAACGTTCACAAATCGAACATCGCTTTCGTTTTGTTTGAGTAGAATTTTCATTTGGTTATGATAGATTTTTTTTCGTCACAGAATGATTGACAATAGGTAATGCATTTTGAATATCTGTCTTCAAAAATTTTGAGTTTTGTGAACGAAAGTCGAACAGATGCGATACCAAAGCTAGTTCTAATTCTTTCAAGAATAATTGACGTTGATATTTTTTATTTTGATTCTATTGAAAATTTCTCGCATTTCAGGCGATCAGAGCATTTACAGCAGCAATGTCTATTATTCCATAAAATATACAAA